TGAAGCTATAATCTTGACTGACAAATGAAATTGGAAAACTATGATAAAAACAGCAACATGAAACAGTAACAGTAACATGTACAGAAACAACAGTAAAGGAGAACCAGAGACGGCTCCACTCTACAGCAACTTCTACTTTATGCAGAAATGTGAAATCCATCACGTTAGCTTGCAACGTTACAGTTACAGTACATATGAAGCTGGCTCCTGCTGACCCTAAACTATGAGAGCAGTTTTTGCCCCCTTCGTCAAATTGTCGAGGCATTTTGACATCTCTTGGACAATTTGAACCCTCTACCCTTTATATTTATAACACTGGGACATATTTAAAGTATGTAAGCCTGCAAAAACCCCAAAATTCATGTATGCACAGTAGTGCAGACCCACACATACCCACACACACATAAACATGTTTAATTCAGCCCTTTCTCTGATGCCAAACCCACATCGTCATTTATTCTTTATCTGTACCCATCTCCCTGGTCCTGATTAGACATTTAGCTTTTCAGACTAGGAGTGGAGTGGACAAGATAAGATCTGTTACAATGAAACTCTCCTCTGGTGATGATGGCGGTTCTGACTATAGAGCCTGTGTGCGTGTGTGTGTGTGCATGTGCATATATTTTCCCACAACTGTACGACTGAATGAGTGCATTCGTACATCTCTGAGTGCATGTTAAACAGATTAACCCGGGATCCAGTGGTCAGAGACGTATTTGGACTGACACACACATAAACACAAAGGAGAAAGCTGAAACGCACACACACAAATGCAGCGTGTGTGTGCACCTGTAGGCCAGTGGCACGCTCCAAGCAGGCTGTCCACCAAACTGGGACTGTCACAGACACACACACTCACATACACACACACACATTGAGCAAAGTTGGCCCTGCTAAGCACTGCAGTCAAAACCAGTATAAGAGAGCAAAGGCATTCCTCACTCCCCAGAGTCTCTGAGCTGTGCTCTCTGCTCTCAGGCCAAATGATTAGAGTGCTCTAATCAGCAGAGGCTCTGAAAGGACAGCTATCTCCCCGCATTTCATCTCCCTCACTCTCCGTCTATCACTGCCGCTCTCTCTCTTTTCCTTCAGCGACAACCTATCTGTATGATAGGTATTTTCCTTCAAAAGACAAGTACGGCTAAAAGACATACAGAGACATTGAAGAGGAGCGAGCATGAGACAGGGAAGAGAGATGTACCGATGGTATGTCCAGCAGCTTTCAACAGAGAGCATCATTGTCTTGGCAGACTGGGAAACAAACCCGCAGGTGTGGCTTCACCCTAGCTGCACCACAGTTGGCCACTGTGTGTGTGTGTATGCGAATCAGTGTCTGAAAGTGTGCACTTGTGTGTTTTTGTGAGTGAGTGTGCAAGTTAGCCAGCGAACAAGTGAGTGAGTGAAAGAAGATGACAACGTATGTCAGTGGGGATAAAAAGGAAGTAGCTGATTTCTTAGTGTTGATTCCCTTAATCCACTACAGCTTTATTTAAAATGAATGTCGTGAGTCCTGTCGAATGTGCTGCCAGTGAACGCTGACATGGGCGTTCCAGAGACTGAATATAGTTTCAACACGAGGAGCTACTTGGTCGAAGATTCTTACAAATTTAGCATCATAAATTTGGATGTATCACTTGTGTTTCATTGATTCACTGTCTTTTATCTCTTCCAGTTGATTACACCACCGATTAGGAACAGTGTTTATATGAATGTAAGTACAGCTTTTGTTGATAATAATGGCACAGTGATGCATAAAGGATCAAAATCTACAGTATTTTATTGTGGTGCTATATATATCTTCTCATGTTGGTGTTTTTTTAATTGTCATTCTTTTTTGAGTTGCAATTAGCCCTGATGGACAACAAGATTTTGCCAAATTTAGCCCAAACACACAGAGTGTTTAAAAGCAACGTATATGTAAATGACCCCTGTATATGACATTGTTTTTCCCTCTTTCCCCCGAGACCAGTACCCCTCTGGGTAAACATGACTTGTCCACATTGATATTATGTCCTCCATCTACACTGAGGTACCTGAACACTGTGCTTTTCAAAAAATGCCCCCAGTGACCCCATCTCTGAAAAATCTGGTCTGGCATTTCAGTGTGGACAAGGAAAACTGAGCTCTTGGAAAACGATAGCAAACCCCTATTCAGGCACTGTCAGTGGCTATGTTGCAGTAAAGTTACGACAATTTAACTTAGCTTACCCTTTCTTACCCATTTTCTACCAAATTAGCTCTGGTTCTTGAACCGGGTCTGTTCAGGATTCTTGAAGTAATCTAGTGAATCAGCCTGCATGTCCACCAATTTTGCGCAGAAGTATTGTAATCAAGGATGTGTCATCAATGAAGGACATTGCACAATTCACAACAGAAATAAACAGCAGTAGCAAAGCCAAGGATTGCATTGATTACCTGCAAACTTTTGTTGTGTTATTACTAGGGCTGCCACTAACGATTATTTTCATTGTCGACTAATCTGTCGATTATTTCTTCGATTAGTCGAATAATAATTTCATCAAAAAATATATTAAAATGTTGAAAAATATCGGTCTGTCTCGCACAAACCCCAAAATTACATCATCTAATGTCTTGTTTCATACTCACGACGAAAGGTTTTAGTTCACAGTAAAGGGAGAGTGTGTAAAGCTGCCAATATCTGAACTTAAGAAGCTGCAGTAAGAGTATTTTGGGGTACTTTTATAGTACTTTTCTTTAAAAAATGACTCAAACTGATTAGTCGACTACTAAAATAGTCACCGATTATTTTAATAGTCAATTAGTCATCGATTAGTCGACTACTAAAATAGTCACCGATTATTTTAATAGTCGATTAGTCATCGATTAGTTGACTAATCGTGGCAGCCCTAGTTATTACAGATATTTGTTTTTATCAAAAAAGTATGGACTAACAAGTAATTAATCCTGCATGCTGTTTTTTTTCCCAAAGATTTCTCTCTTGACGTTTCCATTGTTGTTCTCTACCCTCTCTTTTCAGCCTGTAGAATATGACACACTCTCTGATGTTGTCACAGTTCACACAGTTCCCCCACTTTTCATGTTCTGAACCATTTTATTTTTGGTCGAAATGCTCTGAATGGTTCAAAATTAGATACAGGCACAGAATCGGTTCTATGTTGTTGGAAAAGTGGTATCAGTAATTTTAACATCAATATTAGCCATTACACGGTGCACACACTGTCACTCACTCATACATCTATGTTGATTTTATAACAACTTAGCGATCATAAAATAGTGATTCAGCATTGCAGTGTAGGAGTTTCTGTTTTCCTGATCAACAGGTAGCATTTTTGAGCCAAGATGTCCAGTGAGTGAGAGACTCAGCACAGTAACTGGACTGTGTCTGTCCTTTTCCTTAACAGATGTTGGCTTTGATACACTCTTGTACTTTGCCAACAAAAAGATGACAAAGAACAGATTTTGAACTGTTCAGGCATCTTACATCTTTAAGAAAACATCCCGGGAACAAGAGTGGGGATGCTCATTGTTTATAGATGTAGCTGCATTTTCTCTTTGAGTGACACCCCAGAAGATAACATGTTTTCCAACAGGAACTTGGATCTGTGTCATCCATCTTATGGTCCGTCTGTATGCAATGTCAACCCCACATTTACAACAGGACGAGAGAGGTCTTTAACGTCAAATCAGTCATTATAAAAGCAACGGAGAGCAGATCATTTTTTCCATTCCATATCCAATAAATTCTGTAGATACTGACGGAAACTATTTTTCCTAACAATGTAATTCTAATAAATCCCCACAGACTACCTGCATTTACCTCACATCTATAATGATCGCATGCAAAGTGATAGAATAATGGAAAAGTTCACTTTCAGAGACACGTCCTCTGAAACCGCCAGTCCATCTGCCAGTTGCACAAGGACATTCAGTTGACTTACACAGCCTCTGTGACACTACAACCCACATTGACCTTGACTGGGCTGTGAATGAACAGTGGGAGGATTCGCTGGAGGAAAAAAAAAAATCACAAAGGTTCACATTCAAACACTGCCGCTTTGCAGAAGTGTGTGCGAGTGTGTGTCTGTGTCTGTGTGTGTGTCTGTGTGTGTGTGTGTGTGTGTGTGTGTGTGTGTGTGTTCATAAAAGAAAGAGAGGGAAAGACAGCCAGAAATATTGAATGTTGTCTAATGAAACACTGCACACAAGACAGTGAGAGCACCACACAGACAGACACACAAAGCAGAAAACATGTTATCAGCAGATCTGCATTGTCTGTCTGTCTGTCTGTCTGTCTGTCCGACTGTCACACACCTTGCAGAGATGAGCCTATATGGATTGTTTTATGATGACATATCCACTGTGCCTAGAGGGCCACCTGACATTCCTGACTCTGAACCCCCACTACACACATGCACACAAACACACACCACCTCCACCAGTCTCCATGTCCTCTTTCTTCTCCATGTGTTACTGCAGGCGATGAGCAGCAGACACCTCTCTCACCACCCTGTTTCTGTCTCTTTGTCCGTCACCCTGGGGACCCATATTTCCCAGTCGCACTGAGACATATTTTGACTTGAGAGTGACTTTTTTCATTGCATTGAGCTTTGCTTGTTTTGCTATTACGAAAAAAAAACATCAAGAGAATAAAGTGTGAATAATTGTTTGATTATATATTTTTAAGCACTTTAAAATTGATTTATTTCTCACATTTAGGCAACATGCATCTTTAATCATTATTGATTTGTAGTCTTAATTTGGTCCATCTGTATGGATTGCAGCCATAGATATGATATAGTATGCGTCTTTGGACCAGACTCTAGAAGTTCTCTGTGTATTTAGGTGAAATGCCGGTAAGCCAATGCTGAGTGAGGGTGCTGTGGGTAAATATAGAAAACATAAGCCCCATGTTTGTGCGCAAAAATTAAATACAACAGTCAGGTGAGAGCATTTAAATACCAGTTTGACACGAGACAGAGCAACACAAAACACGTGGTAAGTAAATACAGAGCACTTACCACCAGAGTCCGATGATATTGACCGGACAGAGCAAGATAAAGAACAGGGCCAGCTGGATCCGCGATAGACGAACCGTCATGGTGAACGCAGCAAATCCTCGAGGAGATTCCCCAGCAACGTTTTAAAGTACTGACGAGCTCAGCCAAAACCGAGTTGGATTATTTCTTAAATACATAGGAGGTCCTTGTTTTCTGACGGTGGCAAAAGCTCACTGGAAACTATCTGTCAACAAGAGCGCAAAAAGTTCCTCATCCAACTCCTCTTCTGTGGGGCGCATCTTAATGCGCAACAAAGTTGGTCAAGAGGCTACTGAAGAGATGTCCGCTTTCAAAGGTGTGGTTAACCTCTTCATTGTCGTTCTGCTATATCTGTCGCAGCGCATCACATGTTTCCAAAACGATCTGAGGAGGAACGAGAGGTGACTCCAAGCGGTAAAGTCCTCTCAGACTGCGAAACAGCGCACGGTGGTTGTGAGGACACTCGGAGTCTCGCCACTCTTTGGGGGATATTTAAAACAATGAAATGATACAAATGAAGAAAAATAGCACCGTGGCTTTTAACAGAATTAAAACAAAGTCTTGGTCTTTTGGCGCTGCTGGATGTTGGTCGTGCCCTACGCGCTGTGAAGTGACGCGCAGATGAACTTGGTAAAGTAGTTTTCGGTGCGCACCGGCTGCAGGTAGAGGCGTCTGTGTGCCACAGTCTGTCGATGTGTTTTCTTTGGATGATAAAGGGAGAGAAAAATGCGCTCGTCTTCTTCCACCTTGGTGTGACGTCGCTCCGGGCGAAGCGAAATCCTCGCTGTCACTCAGAAAGGGAGAGAGAAAGAAACTGCAATTAGTTTCAGGAGGACCCGGCTGAGAGCAGAGAGGGGGTAAACACACACACACACACACATACACACACACACACACACACACACATGCATGCACACACCTGTCATACAGTGTGTTTACGGTGGACCCGAAATCAGAGCTTATGGAATGAGGTGATGTCAACACAGGTGTGGTGGTACCTTTCTGATATCAGTGCCAACAGACTGGCACGTTCTGAAGTCATCTGGTGTCTTGTCATATCTTTTCTTTGGCTAAAGCTGAAAAGATGACATTATTTTTCTACCTCATCGTGGTGAGAGGGGAAAACTGTTGTTTCACATCAATCATTTACACAAAAGAAGCCATAGTTTATCAGTTGTCCTCAAGAAGAATCATTTTGTGTGTTCTGCATTACTAAATCTGTGTGTGTGTGTGTGTGTGTGTGCGTGTGTGTGCGTGTGTGTAGGGAGTGGGTAGTATTATCACCTATCTGGCCAAGGGCATATCCATTGAAATTCAACACCACTGTACTGTAGTCGCCCATAAAAGCCCCGACACCCGACTTCGTTCCACTGCAGTGATGCAATCAATCACGAGTGTAACACAAGGCAACTCACCCAGTTAAGTACCACTGTCTTTCACAAGGCCCAGTGGTGCCCCTAGAAATTTTTCAAAGGGGTGGCTTGATAGGGCCACTGAAAATCTTGAGGTGATACACCGAAACCAAAAGCCATAACTGAATTTCAGGAATTTGATTGTTCTGTTGAGGTATATAGGCTAGTTGAAAACTATGTCAATGTGAGAGTTGTGGGGAGAGTTGTGAGTTTTGAGTTCCACAACAATCCTGTTTTAATGTGCCACGTATACAGGCCTATGTGCTCATTAGATACGCTGGTTGTCCTTTTCCTTAAAAAGACAAATAAACAGCTTTAAACTTGAGGGGAGAGATGTGGGTACCAATAGAGTCCATTTTCATTCAGATATCTTGAGGTGAGAGTTCAAGGGATCCCTTGAAAAAGGCCATGCCAGCTGTTCCCTTGCCAATATTTAACCTAAATTTGGAGCATTATTTAACTCCTTTCTGGACAAACTATGCTGACATGATTGGTACCAATGGATGCCTTAGGTTATCTAGTTTCACAATATACCACTACCTTCATAGCTTAAGAAATGAGCACACCACAGCCTCTTAAAGAATGTCAACCTCCAATGATTTTCACCAGGGGGAGACAGTGGGGGCTCTCTTGGAGACACCACTGTGAAGGCCTCAGTTCTATTCACTTACATGCACACACCATAACCATGGCTGTAACTCTACCTTAAGGCTGACAATGAAAAGTGATGACTCCTACATTCAGACACAACCTTTTCAAGTGCAATGAATAAAATGAAGTCACGTTTTACTCAAAGTGGAAACACTTCAACTCTGTGTAATTGTAAAATGTAAGTGTAATTTTTGCCCCATAGTCTGCAAAATATGGAGCCCAACCCGTTGTGGCAGGTTTCATTTATTTATCCAAACTTTTCAGCCATTGAAATATTTTTGCATGTCAGTGCCATATGCAAGGGTTGAAACAACTTGAAACAAATCCATTGAAAACACAATGGAGTTTTTGCTTGATTTGGTCCATTTAGATCATGTATACTTTACATTGCTGCAGACCAAATCACACCGTAGCTTTTCAGAACTTATGATGCATTTTCCCTTACTTACTGTCAGACATGGTTCCCATTCATTTCCCTGCAGCATGAGCACCAACCTGTACAGACTTGAAGCTCGCTGGAGGTAATTTGTCATATTTAATTTCATGCTTTCTATTGGTCAGAGTATTATAGTGTGGCTGGAAAAGTGCATTCATGTGCTGTCAGAAACATCTTTCTTTCATGGGAATTGGCCTTAATGCAAGAGGTGGTGACATTTACATGATCTCGTCATAACATCCACATTTTTGTATTGTCTGTCATCTGAGTTTTTTGTTGCTTTCTTGTGAAGCTGTCTGGCAGCCTAAATATTAAGTCTCAGATATCAGGAATCCATTGGAAGATGTTTTAAGTCAACCCACACACTTTAAAACCTCGTATGCACCATGGATACATTGGAAAAATATCTATGTATCTTATATGTAAATAGTTTGGCATTTAAATGTGGAAGACACCAAACATATAGTGTAGAAAATGAAGGTATTAAGGAAACCTTTCACACGTCATATAATCCACATTGTTGTGGTTGTGACCTAACATTCCACTGATTATAGCAGGTGCTGACCCTCTACAGTTGTTAAATAAAGGCTAATTCTATGGAAGGGGCTAATCAGCTAATTGATGCACATAACCGCTGGATAGTGAGTAAAATCTGAGTCATTTTTGGCATTTGCCATTTCATTTCACCCAAATGTTAGTACACTATATAAATGAAAATATCCCATAATATGCTTGGACACACAAGTTACACCTACTGCTTTGTGCAGATGATTATGATTCAGCCTTTGTAGGAGTATCAGAACTGGATTCAACACTTCTCAAGTTGTCCATAGCTGAAGTGAACTTTTACCTGCATTTTGCAGGTATTTTAGATCAACATTTTTTCAGTGTAGATTTTAGGCACTCAGAAAAAAAAGACAAAGACAAAATTAAATGACTTGGTGAATTTATTTTATGTATATGTTTCTGATGGTAACCTGCAAGGTGAATTTTAAGGACAGAACCAAATCAAACTTTTTGCAGTGTTGAGAAGCAAAAAAGAAAAACAAGTATGACACCATCTTCAACAGCATTTTGCCCATCCCTATGGTGTTCTCTAAGAAGACTGAAGCCTCTCGGAGCCCAGTCAAGAATTGGTCCTAGACCAATTGCCTGTGGTCTGTAAAAGCGGGTGTGAGCACCAAATCACCTCAGATTTGGACTTTCAGTATTGTACACCAACGCACAGGCCATGATCTTATAAAATGGAAATTACTCTCTGATATACAGAACCATATGAAAGAGAGCATGCTCTTCATGTAGTATTCACATCATGTCAGGTGGAAGATAGTGATGGGAAAGATTTTCATGGTTATGACTTGCTTCCGGCTGTTTGATAGACCTCATGTGGAGGCAACAAATTATGTGCTTGATCCTGACATTTGGGTTCAGTTACTGTGGGCGATGGGCTGATCCGAAGCACATTTCCAGACACCTCTCTGCCGTTTACTGCTGAATGGAATGCAGAAAAAATAAGAAGCAGAAATGTAAGTATGGACCAAATCACCATGTGTTATGTAAGAGGGTTTGCTGATATGAACCCACAGACAACTGGAGTAGCATCTAGCATCTTTCAGCTCAGCTGTTACATTAACCCACAACGTCATTGTTTCGGTTCACTCTCACTGCGTTTCCAGTCACAGCAGGCAGCAGTTTTCACCAAAAACACTCCAATAAACATGCTGTACATGATCTACTCATTGCTAAACAGCAGCAACATCTAAATGAGGCCACAATGTAATAGTTATTGTACTGTAGCTAGCTAAAAGCTTGTTGTGGAGTTCTTGGAGTATTTATCATGCTTTAAGTTGGAAAGTGGTAGACATCTACAAACTGAAGATCATGGATTTTCCTGAATTTAACTGAAATGTTTTGAATTGCCTTTAATAAGCAGGTCACTTGCGGCAAAATTTCCAATAACCCTATCCCATTGGACAAACAAACAAACAACAGCTTCAGCTTAGCTCAGCAGTGATAAAAATTTGACACCTGGTTTCACACTCTAATTGTCTCGGCTTTTGGTGCAATGCAAAGACCAACCCATTCTCATCCCAACTCGTCAAGTACTGCCGCTTTGTCAGTGTCCTAAAGGTCAAAATATGATGAGTTAGACAGCTTCCTCGGTCGGTTTTGGACGTCATAGAAGGTATCTCAATTGACTCTTGTTACATGCATTGTGTCCTTTCAAAACACATTTGAGTTTTCACAGGAAATGTACAGTTTCTACTTGTTACATACATACACATACATACAGTCTGAAATACACTTGCTACATTAGTAAAATGCTTTTTTTTTTAGGATTATTTCCTCAAGTTTAGGTGACAAAACTCCCTAGTCAGGTTCAGGCAACAAAAGCATGTTTGATATAGAAAAACACATCATGGTTTGGCTTTAAATAAGTGCAGTTCTTACTAACGTGATGTCACGTTATGTTACGTGTGTAAGGTGACATAAGTCAATAGTTTAGCATGGTAACACTTATTAGCACAGCCTCAGTGAGTCAATATCTGATGCCGAAATCTCTGACAAAGCAGCAGTATTTCACGAGTCCAGCGTGAGTCCTAAATGGCTACACTGATTTTTAGGTAAGATGTAGGTCCATTCCTGAGGCCATATATTGAAGGTGGTCATGACTGGTCGAAGTGGGCGTGGCTTATTACAAGATAAACAACAAACATTTATTTCAGCAGAACTATTGTACTGAGGGCTGTGAAATTTATAGAGTACATATAGACTAGGACACAGACCTCCCTCACCAAAAATTATGCAGATACTCCACTAGGTGGTGCTATAACAGACGCAAACGCGTGTTTTCTCCTGTAACTTCTGCATTTTAACTCCAAAAGTTCTGTCTATGTAAAGTCAAGCCAATTTTGCGTATAGCTCCAAATCACACTCTTGTGCAAATGCTTTACAGTCTGTACAACATACAGTGCTTTACAGGTTCCATTCATTTTTTTGCATCTCATCACCAGTAGTTCATTAAT